TTGTTTTGGTTACACAAGAACTAACGATCTGATTGGTTTTTATACCACTAGGTGATATCATCTAAGGTGAAAATTAGCAATAATCAATTTATATATTATATATTTCATTATATTTGATTATATACTATATTATATATATATATATGTATGTGATCTCTCATTTGACCATATATCTATGGTATAAATTACATGATTTCTGGCACTCCCCTAATCTGATCACAATAAACACATAACAATATAAATATTTTTTTCTTATTTAAAAACATTGCCCTATATAATTAAAAACTTGAACAATATATTTATATATTTAGTAAATAAATAGAGATAATGAAAACATATAGAGTTATAATTTGTTATATTTTGAAATAAAATATGAATTTAAAGTTAGAACAATAAAAAAACTATAAGATATGCAATCTAATAACAAAATGTTATATACATATAATTTTATACCTTAATACAAGCTATATAAAATGCAATTAGTTTGGTTTTTTTTTTATATTAGTTAAATTTTATATAAATACTATAATTATATAATATATCCTAATTAGCAGATACCAATTTGTTAAATAGGTTTTTTTGGTTTTATATTTGTACTTTAAACTTTTATTGTTAGTTTATTTGTTTTGAAATATCCCCCTTCTTATATTTCTTTTTATTTTATTTTACTTTTTGTAATTTTTTACTTGGTAATATTTTATATAGTGCAGTGATCCTGACAAAACTGGTAGCTGCCTACTATAGACTCCTGGGGTTTAAATTCTTAGTAAGTTAAAGATCCCAGATGAGAAAACTGGGCCACCTAGATGGATCACACCTGGGTCCTCTTTGGCGGAATCTAGTTTTAGGTTTTTGTTTTAATAGCTAAGTGATTCTTTATTAATACAGGCTTATATAAGAATGTCTTGTAAATTAACCTCTATTTGTACACCTATGCCAATTTAAATAATAAAGGAAGGATCGCTGAATTGCAAAAAAAAAAACAAAATTATCCAAAGTGTCCAAACTTACTGTCTACAACTGTCCCGCTGTCCAGTACTGTTTTTTTTAGGTTTACGTTACACGAATTTTAGGGTGGCCCGTTATCCCAAATATGGAAAAATCTATAATTTTACAGGAAAGTTCCACATGCTGGAAAACGCGTGTAATTTTATACGCGCGATCATAATTTGATTCTTATAAATCATTCAAGCCGTCATTACTCAAAAAAAACAAAAAAAAAGAAAAAAAAGAAACGCGTAAAATGACGAGCAAAGATCAAAGACGTTCTTTGTCAAAGGCAAAGCAGCCGTTACAGGAAAAAACTATATCTACGAGGGATGGTAAAATGCTTGATTGGGTCTTTCTGCAACGGAAGGAATTTCCAAATCGCAGATTTTATTTTGACGACAGTATAAAAATTACTATGAAAAAAAATATGATAGGTGGTATAAAGATGCTTGGAGCTGTAAGTAAAACCAGATATATTTGGATAAAACGATACAATTTTAACTCGCCAAGTTATCACGATGTTTTATAGGCAGTTGAGCCATTTTATGATGTTGAGAAAGTTACTCATATAATTACCGCAAGGTTATTCAAAAACGAAAACAATGAAAACAAAGAGGACGAAATAAAACGATGTATTAACGAAACTGTGGCCGCCGCTACACAATCCTTGCTCAAAAAGCATACCTCGACAGCAACACCCAAAACTTCTACAAAGAGGTCTTTTGGTACAAACATAACTAACAAAAACGTCATGCAAAATGACACCACAAAGAAAAGGGTAAAACTAGACTGCTCCGAAATGTAAGTAATTGCTTGATTGCCTAAGTATGTCTTTATTTAAACGGATTGTGTGTTAATATAAAAAAATTATTATAACAAGTTCTGACAAAAAAGTATTCGGATCGATCACTACAGCTAATGTAATCCTACGCATATTTGACTTTTAACATTTTATTATGAGCTGTTAGTTTATTTATATTGAACCATATAGGCGATGGGAGACATCGATCTTGCTGATGCGCAAAGAAGAGGGATTAAGATTTGGCATGTTGATAGTATGTTGATTTGTATCTGTTGACTCATTATAATTCATATAAATTTATATTTATATTTTCTCAAAATTACAAATAGAATTTAAAAAGATTCTTAGCAGATTGCTCGATACATCATCGGTTGATCCGCCGAAAGTGGATCATTCATTCCTACAGTCTTCATCGACTGATGTTGCAAAACCTGCTAAAAATCAAATTTTTTCAATTATAGTTGGTGATAGTGCACATCTTCATCGACCTATAATTTCGCGACAGTACTTGGGTGAAGAGCATCTCATAAGCTTTCATTTTGATATACCCTATACAGTGTCCCCATTTCAAACCTATTCCAAAAAGAAATCAATTCAAACTAAGCTTTCTGCAAGTTTAAGTGTCGCTAACAATGCAGTGCCTGCAAATGCGCAAGCAAATCCACCTAAAGATGGTAAGTTACTATAACAAGACATTTCGATTAATAATTACAGAATAACATTAACTTTTTACATTTATAGGTGACCAAGAACAGCGCGAAAATGAAGTTAAAAGAATTGTCTTGCCACTTAAAGATGAATCTGGATATTGTGAATACTGTTCGGTTAAATATGAAAGCCTTGCACAGGTTAAAATCGATTTTGAATCTGACGTGTAAATATAAGGCTAGATGTTTTTTCGTTACTCATAATTTTTATATTTTAAAGCATCGTCAATCGTTTACCCATGTTGAGTTCAAACGGGATAACTCGCGTTTTAAAGATTTAGATGACCTTCTTATGGAATTATAGATGCTAGTGATTGTTGCCGACTAAAAAATTACAAGCTTAGCCGAGCCGATAATTTTGATATGGCTAAAGCGATTATCTTTAAATTAAATCTGCTAATAATAAGCCATAATTCGCAGGTTGTGCTCTATTTTATGATGTATAATGTTTCTGAAGTCAAAATAAAGTGAATGTCATCGCATAATGTCTCAAATAAAATAAAAGCAATTCTTGAATGTGTGCCAGGTTGGTGGCGCATTAATCAGCCCAAGTAATTTGCGCCAATTAAAAAAATTCTAATAATAAAATTATAAATTTAAATAGACCATTTTCTAACGTTATTTCTACTCGAATTGTTTTTTATTTTCAAAAAAGTATACCGTATTCCTCCGACATGTGTACCCCTCTAGCATAGCGGGCTTTCATCGTGATTGGCCAATTTTTGTACAGTACCGGACAGCAAGAAACATCTAATTTTTTTTTAAAAGCGCCAAATTTTGAGATTTATACTCAAATCTGAT